TGAGGTCCTGGGGGTACAAATTTCAACGTGTGAACTTTCAGGGGACACAAATTCACCCCATAGCACATGTTGATATAAGCACATTTGGGGACATGATTTTGATTCCCTGCTCCCTTTTCCATCCGACCTGCTTGGGACATGGTTTTGATAGCTGGAGCCACATTCTGGACCATGAGGGTGAGCATACACATACCCCACCAGCCCTTAAACCACCCTGTGCCTGCCCCTGTGACTGGGACCCTGCTATGCCTGACCAGACCTATTCCCTTACCTGAGGGTGCTGTCATGGAAGCTTCTCGGTTCTAGGGGCCTGGGCATGTCAGAATGCCCTCCCACCCTATCCTGTGGCTGGGCATGAAGATCACTTTGCATCCACGCCCCTGGGGCTTGAAGGGGCTTAACAACCCCTGTCAATCATCAGTAAACAGCCAGAGGGGCAATGCAGCTGGTGACACCAACCAGAGGCAGGGTGCAGGAGGTGGCTATGAAGATGGGCCCCCACCACCACCATTTTGCCAGACCAGGCATCCTGTTCACTCCTACCATAGGGACCTGTGATCTCCAGTCTCCCTAAGTTACCTGTCAAAAATATACCCTTTCACCTTACAGTCCAGACCAGCCATGCCAGCACCCAGCTATTCAGCACCACGTGGCTTTGGGTACTTTGTGGCAAGGGCTTCCATCCCAGGCCAATATATGCTCACCTGAGCTCCTACCACTAAGGGCCCAGCCAAGGTGAGCTATTGGAATGTGTCCATTTTAAGATTAGCCTGAGAAAAACAGCTTTAGGAAATAAAACACACCCAAAAATATCAGTTCAGGCCTTTCAGCACCAGCACAGTAGTTTTCTGGGGTGGCCGTAATGATTTACCCCCAACTGGGGGCTCAAAAAACGATAGGAATGTTTCTCTCACAGTCTGGAGGCCAGAAGCCCAAGATCAAGGTGTCAGCAGAGCTGGTTCCCCAGGGAGACTGCTCCTGTCTTCCAGCATCTGGTGGCTGTAGCACCCTTGCCCTGGGGTTGCATGACCCCCCTCTCTGCATCATGTCATGGCTTCTCCCTGTGTCTGTGTGTCAACCTCCCTGTTTCTCTTATAAGGATGCCAGCCTTGGTATAGGGTGAATCCTAAAATTCTAAATCCAGACTAAAATTGGATTTAGGCTCACCCTAAATCTGAGATGAGCTCATCCCAGGTTCCTTACACATCTGCAGAAATGCTTTTTCCAAATGAGATCACTTTCACAGGTGCAAGGAGCAGGGATGTGGACAATCTCTGGGAGTCCACCCCACTCCCCACTACAACCACCAAGAAGTACTGGCCCCCTTTGGCCTCCTGGCATACCTACCACCTTTCCCTCTGTTACAGGGGTGTTTTAAGGTCAGTGGTAGACAATGAGAAGTATAAAACCCATGAGGATGCCATGAAGCACACCACCCTGGACAGTGCCCCTCCCCCCCACAGACGCTCACCTCAGGGCCCAGCACCTGCCCAGTCCCTGGCCCACCCATACACCAGATGGCTTACAGCACCCAGATCACAGCCAGCCCCTCACCGAGGCCAGATGGTCTGACAGGGCCCGCACACGGGACACAGAAAATCTGCTGTGCTGGCTCTGAAGCAATATCCAGAAGCTTCTGCTGCACGTGAACACACCCTACTTCCCCTCCCTTCTCACTCTGGACCTTGCTTATCCCAGCACCCAGGGAGGATGTCTCCATCCATGAGCCGGGGTAGGCTCAGCAACAGGAAATCCTGATATGTTTCCCTCTTCCTAGGCTTCCAGCCTCAAAACTGGAATATTTTGAAGCCCAGGAGTGATAGGTCATGGTCAGTGATAGTGGCCTAGGCCCTGCCCTTGGGGCAACCCTCTGCTGAGGCCTCCCCATCAAAACAGGACGAGTCACGGGTTGTCACTGCCAGGAAGGGCCTTGCCATGTGCTGACTTGGCAAATGAGGAGAGGCCTAGGGCCTCCTGTGAGGCTGGACATCCCCTGCCAGGAGCACTGTCCAGCTAGGGGAAGACACAGGTCTAGTCCCCAGGAGCCCCACAGCCACCAGGTACCTCCAACAAACATATGAGTGCTCTTGGGGGTGTCAGTGACCTAATGGGCTCCCCACAGTACTTCAGGAACACCCTTGAGGCTATCCCAGAGAGCCACCCTCAGGCTGGGGGCCCTCGGCTGACCAGGTGCACCTGGGTGGGGTGCTTTGGCCCTGCAGGTGTCCCCAGAGCATGGGGGGTTCTGTTGGCAGCAGCAGGGCTCCTCTCTGCATTTCCTTTCACTCCATGGGGCCTGTACAAAGTTCAGAGCCTGGACCCAGCCTGGGCATCCTGCACCCAGTCCTGCCAGGGCAGCCTGCTCCGCAAGCAAGAGGGCCAGGAATAGGAGCTGAGGACTGGGTTTAGGGCCTGGGCAAGTGGTTTATACTCAGATTTACATTAAATTTAAATAATTAGGATTTGATTTGTTGAAGTTATAAATTCAAATCCTAATTTTTTAACCTATTAAGTTCAACTTTACAAACCGTTATTCCCTTTATAAGCCTAACAGATTTTAAAGTCATTTTTAAGCCTCTCATAATATTTGGCCCCATCTACAAACTCAGTTAGTTAATTAAGCATTTTCAATATTCCAAACTAAGTTTATAAATTAAATCCCTCTTGCTTCCTTTTTAAGCACTTTATCTTGTCTGAGTTGACAACAGAATCTTGGGCACTTCAAAACCTCATGCACTTAATAGATTTTTTAATGTGGTGAACCCCAGGTTGTCTTTAATGTTCTAGAAACACGAAATACCAAATGTGTTCAGGTTTCACTTACTATGTAAACACTGTTTCTAATTCTTTTAAACTTTTCTCTGTTTCATCCTAATTCTTCCTGTGGCTGAAAAAGACGTGTACCCACTGAAAGCTTTCAATTCAGGTTTTGAGGCCCTTTGGCACTGGCTCTGCCAGCTGGGAAGCTGACTGCTCTGTGCTGGCAAGTCCACAGGTGTGGGGAAGCCCTGCCTAGCAGGGGACTCTGCGGAGGAGGCCGGCTCTGGGTTCCCTGTCCCTCCTTCCCGCCTGCTCTTGGGGCCTGCAATGCAGACCCAGAATGAACTTGGGTGGGTTTTGCAGTTCTTTAGCTCCAAACCTCTGAACTCAATGGGATCCTAAGGTGACTAAATGCTTTCCTCACCAACAGAATTTTGATCTTGCTGGGGTCCCTTAGCGTTACTGAGGTCCCCTCCAGAGCTCTGCCTGATTTGGGGTCACTATCCCAAAGGTCAGGCCTCAGGGCTGAGCTGGGTGCCACCAACGCAAACTGCCCAGTGGCACTTGACAGTTGTCATATACACGCCCAGCCCACAGACCAGACCCCAGCCACTAGGGAAGACTGCGAGGTCAGCGGGCAGGAAATGTGGGGAAGAGAAAGAAGGAAACATGACCAGGAAGAAAAGAGAACAAAGTTCAGTTCGGAGAGAAGCTCTGAACAGCAAAAATGGGGAAGGAGCCGCGCGCCGCACCCTGGGGCTGGTCTGCCGACCGCCGGACTAGGGTGCGGCCGCGCCAGGTTTCTACAGGGACCTGAAGGGGACACGGATACGGACCGGCCAGCCGGTCTCCGGGTGGCGAACCGAAGTTGCGCGCCCGCGCGCCCTGCCTCTGGAGGCTCCCACTCCAGCCCCTCTGCGTCCCCGCCCGCCCCCTGCGCTGCTGCGTCCTGCCCGCCCCTGCCCCCGCCCGCTTCCACCGCTCTTCCCGCTCCACTGAGTCCCCTACCCCCCCGTCCCCGCCCTCGCCCCCGCGGCCCCTTGCTGCCCCGCCCC